CCTCATCATGGAGTTCCTACGCCGGCTGCAACTTCCTCCCCGGCGCTGGGTCCTGGTGCACCTGGTGGTTCGTCCCGCATGGGCTACTACGTGTCGCCTCCTGCCGTTGATCTTGTCGTGGCCATTGCACCGTTCTACTTCGCGCATCTCATCCCGGTGAAATTGACGACGGATAATTATCTGCCGTGGCATGCACAGGTGCTGCCGCTTCTCCGCAGTCGCTACCTGGAGGGCTACGTCGACGGTTCTCTGCCGTGTCCTCCACTGCATCAGTCGGCCTATCATGCGTGGGTGGCTCAGGATCAGGCCATCCTCTCTGTGATCCAGTCGTCACTCATCGAGGGGGTGTCCTCCTTGGTCCTCTTCGCTGCCACGTCCCAGGAGGCGTGGTCTGCCCTCTACACGAGCTTCGCATCTCAGCAGCAGGCGCGTGCTCACACTCTTCGTATGGAGCTGGGGGAGACCAAGCTTCTTGACCTCAGCATTATTGACTACTTCGGCAAGATGACGCGTCTTGCAGACACCTTGGCCTCTATTGGCCAGCCGCTTCGTAAAGAGGACTTCACCACCTTTGTCATGAACGGGTTGGATGATGACTATGATAACCTTGCAGAAAACATCAATGGTCGTGATACTCCGCTTGAACCTCGTGAGCTCTACGCCCGCCTCCTTGCCACGGAACAGCGCGTCAAGTCCCGTCGTTCCAACCCAAGTTTTATTGCTGCAAATGCTGCCACTCGCGGTAAAGGGAAGCCCTTCAAGTCACCCGCCGGCGGCAAATCAGTACCACTGACTCCACAGGCTCCACGACCGCCCGTCGCCGCCTCCTTGCCTACTACTGGGGGTGGTCATCCGTGTGCCTGCTGCCCCTCATGTGGCATTCAGCTCCCATGTCAGTTGGGTAGCCTTCCAGATCACATAGCATCCCGCTGTCATCGCCGCTTCAAGCAGGACTTCCTCGGCATCGACAACAATGGCAAAGGCAACGAGAAATAGGCTGCCTTGGCCACTCACGAGCCTACACGACAAGCAGGCCACACTCCATTGTATCCCATTGATCCAACTTGGTATATGGACATGGGCGCTATGAATCATCTGACGGGCGAGATGGGTAAACTCTCCATCCAGGAGCCATACCGTGGACATGATCAGGTTCACACCGCCAGCGGAGTAGGTATGCACATATCACATGTTGGTCAGGCCTCGCTCTTAACTCATAAACAGAAATCCCTCCACCTCTGTAATGTTCTTAGAGTTCCTTCTGCTACTCGTATCTTACTGTATGTTCCTCAACTTACTCGTGATAACAACGTTTTCACTGAGTTTCATCCTTTTTATTTTTTTATCAAGGGTGGGGCCACGAGGGATGTTCTGCTTAGAGGTCGTCTGCGGGATGGACTCTATGCACTTGATCTGCCGTCTGCTCCTTGAGCGTTCAGTGGTGTCCGTGTGTCGCCTACTCATTGGCATGCACGGCTTGGTCATCCTGCCACTCCCATAGTTCGTAGTGTTCTTCGTCGTCATAGTCTTCCCGTTGTGTCCAATAAACATGCTGCGTCGGTCTGTGATGCATGTCAGCAAGGCAAAAGTCATCAAATTTTGTTTTTAGATTCGAGTCGTGTCATTAAAACTCCACTTGAGCTTATTTTTTCCGATGTATGGGGGCATGCCCAAACTTCTGTGAGTGGTCATAATTATTATGTCAGTTTTATTGATGCTTATAGTCGGTTTACTTGGCTTTATCTTGTAAAGTGCAAATCTGATGTATTCGATGTGTTCCTACAATTTCAAGCTCATGTTGAGCGTCTTCTTAAGCATAATATTATCCATGTCCAATCCGAGTGGGGGGGGGTTGAATATCACAACCTCAATTCCTTTTTTAATAAGCTTGGGATTTTGCACTGTGTGTCTTGTCCTCATACACATCAGCAGAATGGCACGGTTGAACGTAAGCATCGTCACATTGTTGAACTGGCCTCACTTTACTTGTCCATGCATCGGTACCTTTTCGGTTTTGGAGTGATGTGTTTTCCACTGCTTGTTTTCTCATAAATAGGCTTCCTACACGACTTCTTCGGATGAAAACACCACTTGAATTGTTGCTTAATGAGTCTCTAGATTATACCTTTCTCAAAGTTTTTGGTTGTGCTTGCTGGCCTCATCTTCGTCTATACAATAAGCGTAAGCTTGAGTTTCGGTCAAAACTTTGTGTTTTTCTTGGGTATAGCTCTCTTCATAAAGGGTACAAGTGCCTTCACATTCCATCTAATTGTGTCTACATCTCGCATGATGTTGTGTTTGACGAGAATGTATTCCCGTTCTCATCTTTATCGTTAACTCCCGCACCTCCGGTCTCATCCTCGCCTTCCACCTCTCCACTGCCTGCTCAGTTTGTTGATATTGCATACTATCCTGCGTTGTTACCTAATCATGCTGCAGGAACAGGTCTTGGAGCTCGCCTTGAGTTGTTGGAGGAACAGGAGTTGTCAGATGCACCTGACGTGGGGTGCGGTGTAGTGCATGCGCCATGCATGCCTCGCTCTCCCCCACCTGCGGTGGCTGCCGCTAGACCGGGGTCTTCAGCGCCGGCCTCGCCCACACCGTCCTCCCCTGGGCTGGTCACCCCTCGGCCGATCTCGCCTGGGCCATCCTTGGTTGGTCTCGAGCGGGCGGTCTCGCCTGGGCCGGCCTTGGTTGGCCTCGAGTGGGCGGTCTCGCCTGCCCCGTCGCCTGTTGCACCGCCTGTTCCTGCCTCACCCTTGCCAGGAGCCTATGCTCCGTCACTAGATGCCTCGTTGGCCTCCTCGCTGGTGCCGTCGCCACCCATTGTACCACCGGCTGCTGTTGCTCATCGACCGCATACACACAGCAGGTCTGGTATTGTCTGTCCCAAGCAACGCAAAGATGGGACGGTGGCCTGGCTTGCGGCCTACGTTGCTCATGTTCAGGAAGATCCCTCAGTTGAACCGCGTCACTTCCAGGTTGCTCTCGGGATTCCTCATTGGCGTTAGGCTATGGAACAAGAGTTTCAGGCAAGTTTGACAAATGGTACTTGGCAGCTTGTTCCTCCGGTCTCTGGTGTCAATGTCATTGATTCCAAGTGGATCTTCAAAGTTAAGAAGCATGCCGATGGTTCTATTGAATGCTATAAGGCACGGTTAGTGGCGAAAGGGTTCAAGCAAAGGTATGGTCTTGACTACGAGGATACGTTCAGTCTGGTGGTTAAACCGACGACTATACGGCTTCTGTTGTCCTTGGCTGTTACTCGAGGCTGGTTTCTCCGTCAGCTGGATGTTCAGAATGCTTTTCTACATGGACTTCTGGATGAGGAGGTTTACATGCATCAGCCACCGGGGTTTGTTGATCCCGCTCGCCCTCATCATCTGTGTCGCCTGGTCAAGGCACTCTATGGGCTGAAGCAGGCTCCTCGTGCCTGGCATGCCAGATTGGGCTTTGTTCTTCGGTTACTTGGTTTTGTTCCCTCCACTGCTGACACTTCACTCTTCCTTCTGCATCGGCCTGAGGTGACGATGTATCTGCTGGTGTATGTTGATGATATTATCCTCATTAGCTCCTCTGATGTTGCTGTTGATCCTCTGATCTCTTCCTTGAGTGGTGACTTTGCGGTGGAGGATTTAGGAACGTTGCATTACTTCCTTGGTTTGGAAGTCTCTCGTTCTCGTGCTGGTTTGACACTCACACAACATAAGTACTCGATGGACTTGTTGCGAAGGGCAGGTATGCTGAAGTGCAAACATGCCATGACTTCTATGTCTGCTACTGATCGTTTGTCTGCTTTTGATGGAGATCCTCTCACTTCCGATGACTCCACTGAGTATCACAGTATTGTTGGTGGTCTGCAGTACCTGACTATCACTCGACCTGACATCTCCTATGTAGTCAATCATGTTTGTCAGTTTCTTCATGCTCCTCGGACTTCTCATTGGACAGCGGTGAAGCGCATTCTTCGCTATGTTTGCTTCACTGCCTCATATGGTTTACTTCTTCAGCCAGCACCGTCTTTTACGCTTTCTGCTTTTTCAGATGCAGATTGGGCTGGTAATCCAGATGCCAGGTGATTCACGGGGGGACATGTTGTCTTCTTTGGTCCTAATTTGATCGCCTGGGCTGCTCGTAAACAACCTACAGTGTCCAGGAGTAGTACTGAAACTGGATACAAAGCAGTTGCAAATGCTACAGCTCAGATCATATGGGTACAATCCTTATTGAGAGAGTTGGGAGTTCCTCCCTCAGCCACCTGTCCTTTGGTGTGACCATATTGGTGCTACATATCTGTCATCTAATTCAGTTTCATGCTCGGACAAAACACATTGAAGTTGACTATCACTTTGTGCGGGAACGTGTTGCACAGAAGCTACTCTATATCAAGTTCATCTCTTCGAAAGATCAACTTGCTGACATCTTCACGAAGCCTTTACCACAACCTCAGTTTGTAGGCTGCAGGCACAATCTTAACGTACTTTGTATTTCAGGGCATAGTTAAGATTGAGAGAGAATGTTAGACTGTATTTATATGTAACCTCTGTACTGTTCTTGTATATTGTACCGTATGTGTATCCTTTTTTATATATGAGATGGCCACACCAGTTAAGGATGCCGTGCAGTTTCCCATATCCTAAGTCTTACGGTGTGTTCTCAGCCGTGGTATGTGCCACCACGTCGGTATATGCCAAGCTCAGTTTGTGCCCAGTAAAGATTAGGCCGTCCGTGCGGTGAGGTGCTTGTGCGCGGGAAACACTTGTGTCCAATGTGTTTCTCCTTTCATCTTTGTCTAAGCGAATGAGAGAGGAGATGAGCGGCGAGCTGGTCCGGGGATTGTCCCAACACCAATGGTGCCCTCTGTTTTACAATCACGTTTCTGAAATCTGAACACAACAGTTACATCTGACCTTTACATCTGAGGTTCTATTTCTTCACATGGTCTGTGCTATTTCACATTTACATCTGACCTTTCCTTCGCGCATACATACACGGAGCTGCTATCTCTGAAAATTCCCCACGGATGCGAATCCCCTGCTCGAGAGGCGAAACCTCGCCCAAGTGGAATTGCGACCGTCAGCAGCTGCGCGCCCAAGCCTCCTCCTGCCACCGCCGCTGATGCCGGACTTCCTCGAGCTGCTGTACGTCGAGAAGGCATAGTAGGATGAGACGATGTTGCTGTCCGTGACCGGCACCGCCATGCTGACCGAGCTCACTGGCAGCAGGCAGTTGGCCATCAGGGCATGGGCGCCATCACCAGCGCTCTGCGTGTCGTGTCGGTCTTGTCCGTCCTCGTTGTCGCCGCGGAGGAAGGTGATGGCGAGCTCGAACAGCTCGTCATCGTCGTCGGTGACGATCATCTCTCCGTGACTGTCGCGGCCCCATCGTCGCTGGTGAGCACCTCGTCACCGTCACCGTCCTCGATCATCGTGATTGCGGCGATGGTTTCTTGGCCGATGGCCTCGAATTCCATGGCTAACGACATTGCGCAAGCTACGCACCTCCGATCACTTGTGGCTACTTGAGATCGGACAGATGCGGCGCAGGGGCTATATAGCTGCACACGTGCGTCGTTCACGCGCCAACATGTTACTAGGATTTAGTATGACGAGAGAGCTGCAGGCGGTGTCAGGCAGGATGGTTGAGTTGGTTCAAACTTGTTGCAGATGGTTGGGAAGAGTACTAGCTAGGGGGTACGGTTGGTGATCTAGTAGGCAGCCTACTTTGTATATTTTCCTTTTGCTGGGTACTCTGCACATTATTTTAAACGGATGAAAGCTTAAGCTGCCTGGTTGCGCGAACTTTTGACAACTTGTCCAAACTTAAAGTCCAACTTTTTCACTGAAAATAACTTTCATTACTCCCAACCCTCATACAAAAGTCCAATTAAGTATTCTAATTAGGTTGACTAAGAACATGGATCAATGCATGTCTAAACTATAAGGACACATCCAATGCATGGTCTCTTCACATATAAATCAATCATATATAGTGGAAACTTTTTGGAGACAACTGTTGGGAAACGTACCATGCAATTTTAAAAAATTTCCTACGTTTACGCAAGATCTATCTAGAAAATGCATAGCAACAAAGGGGGGAGTGTGTCCATGTACCCTCGTAGACCGAAAGCGGAAGCGTCAACTTAACGCATTTAATGTAGTCGAACGTCTTCTCGAATCAACCGATCAAATACCGAACGTACGGCACCTCCGAGTTCTGCACACGTTCAGCTCGATGACGTCCCTCGATCTCTTGATCCAGCAGAGTGTCGATGGAGTTGATGAGTTCCGTCAGCACGACGGCGTGATGACGGTGTTGGTGATGTGATCCGTGCAGGGCTTCGCCTAAGCACTACGATGATACTATCGTAGAAGTAAACAGTGGAGGTGGGCACCGCACACGGCTAAGACAATGTTATGCCTTTGGGGTGCCCTCCTGCCCCCGTATATAAAGGAGGGGGCATGAGGCCGGCCACCAAGGGGCGCGCCAAGGAGGGGGGGAGTCCTACTAGGACTCTACTCCTAGTAGGATCCCCCCCCCCATTTTTTCTTCTTTCCGGAGTAGCAAAGGGGGAAAGGGAGAGGGAGTAGGAGAGGGGAAGGGGGGGCGCCGCCCCCACCCCTTGTCCAATTCGGATTGGCAAGGGGGGGCGCCACCTACTATGGCCGGCCCTCTCTTCTCCACTAAGGCCCATGTGGCCCATTATCTTTCCCGGGGGGTTCCGGTAACCTCCCGGTCCGAAACGTATCTGAAACTTCTCGAGACCATTCCGGTATCCGAATGTAACCTTTCAATATATCAATCTTTACCTCTCGACCATTTCGAGACTCCTCATCATGTTCGTGATCTCATCCGGGACTCCGAACAACATTCGGTCACCAAAACACATAACTCATATAATACCAATCGTCGTCGAACGTTAAGCGTGCAGACCCTACGGGTTCGAGAACTATGTAGACATGACCGAGATACCTCTCCGGTCAATAACCAATAACAGAACCCGGATGCTCATATTGGTTCCCACATATTCTACGAAGATCTTTATCGGTCGAACTGCAACATCAATATAGTTATTTCCTTTGTCATCGGTATGTTACTTGCCCGAGATTCGATCGTCGGTATCTCCATACCTAGTTCGATCTCGTTACCGGCAAGTCTCTTTATTCGTTCCGTAGTGCATCATCCCGTAACTAAATCATTAGTCACATTGCTTGCAAGGTTTCATATGATGTGCATTACCGAGAGGGCCCAGAGATACCTCTCTGATACTTGGAGTGACAAATCCTAATCTCGATCTATGCCAACCCAACAAACACCTTCGGAGATACCTGTAGAGCATATTTATAATCACCGAGTTACGTTATGACGTTTGATAGCACACAAGGCATTCCTCCGGTGTCCGGGAGTTGCATAATCTCATAGTCGGAGGAATATATATTTGACACGAAGAAAGTAGTAGCAATAAAATTGAACGACCATTATGCTAAGCTAACGGATGGGTCTTGTCCATCACATCATTCTACTAATGATGTGATCCCGTTATCAAATGAAAACTCATGTCCATGGCTAGGAAACTTAACCATCTTTTGATCAACGAGCTAGTCTAGTAGAGGCATACTAGGGACATGTTGTTTTGTCTATGTATCCACACATGTATCAAGTTTCCAATTAATACAATTCTAGCATGAATACTAGACATTTATCATGATACAAGGAAATATAAAATAACAACTTTATTATTGCCTATAGGGCATATTTCCTTCAGTCTCCTACTTGCACTAGAGTCAATAATCTAGTTCATATCGCCATGTGATTTAACATCAATAGTTGACATCTGTATGTGATTAACACCCATAGTTCACGTCGCCATGTGACCAACAACCAAAGGGTTTACTAGAGTCGGTAATCTAGTTCACATCGCTATGTGATCAACACCCAAAGAGTACTAAGGTGTCATCATGTTTTGCTTGCGAGAGAAGTTTAGTTAACGGGTCTGCCATATTCAAAGCCGTATGTATTTTGCAAATTTTCTATGTCTACAATACTCTGCATGGAGCTATTCTAGCTAATTGTTCCAACTTTCAATATGTATCCAGATTGAGACTCAGAGTCATCTGGATCAATGTCAAAGCTTGCATCGACGTAACTCTTTACGACGAACTCTTTATCACTTCCATAACCGAAAATATTTCCTTAGTCCTCTTAGGTAACTAAGGGTAACTTTGACCGCTATTTGGTGATCCACTCCTGGATCACTATCGTACCCCCTTGCCAAACTCATAGCAAGGCACACAACTGGTTTGGTACATAGCATGGCATATTTTATAGAAGCTATGACTGGGGAATAGGGAATCACTTTCATTCTCTTTCTATCTTCTGTCGTGGTCGGGATTTGAGTCTTACTCAACTTTACACCTTGTAATACAGGCAAGAGCTCCTTCTTTGACGGATCCATTTTAACTCTTTCAAAATCTTGTAAAGGTATGTACTCATTTAAAAATCTTATCAAGCGTCTTGATCTATCTCTACAGATCTTTATGACCAATATATAAGCAGCTTTACCGAGGTCTCTCTTTGAAAAACTCCTTTCAAACTCTCCTTTATGTTGTCTAGAAAATTCTACATCATTTCCGATCAACAATATGTCATTCACATATACTTATCAGAAAGGCTGTAGTGCTCCCACTCACTTTCTTGTAAATACAGGCTTCACCACAAGTCTGTATAAAACTATATGCTTTAGCCAACTCATCAAAGCGTATATTCCAACTCTGAGATGCTTGCACCAGTCCATAGATGGATCGCTGGAGCTTGCACATTTTGTTAGCACCTTTAAGATTGACAAAACCTTCTGGTTGCATCACATACAACTCTTTGTTAATAAATCCATTAAGGAATGCAGTTTTGATATCTATTTGCCAGATTTCATAAAATGTGGCAATTGCTAACATGATTCGGACAGACTTAAGCATCGATACGAGTGATAAAATCACATCGTAGTCAACACATTGAACTTGTCGAAAACCATTTTGTGACTAGTTGAGCTTTGTAGATAGTGACACTACCATCATTTTCCGTCTTCCTCTTGAAGATCCATTTATTCTCAATGGCTTGCCGATCATCGGGCAAGTCCACAAAAGTGCATACTTTGTTCTCATACATGGATCCTATCTCAGATTTCATGGCCTCAAGCCATCTGTCGGAATCTGGGCTCATCATAGTTTCTTCATAGTTCATAGGTTCGTCATGGTCAGGTAACATGACCTCTAGAACAGGATTATCGTACCACTCTGGTGCGGATCATGCTCTGCCAGGCCTACGAGGTTCAGTAGCAACTTGATCTGTAGTTTCATGATCTTTATCATTAGCTTCTGATACGTCTCCAACGTATCTATAATTTTTTATTGTTCCATGCTATTATATTACCCCTTTTGGATGTTTATGGGCTTTATGTTACACATTTATATCATTTTTGGGACTAACCTACTAACCGGAGGGCCAGCCCGTATTGCAGTTTTTTTTGCCTATTTCAGTATTTCGAAGAAAAGGAATATCAAACAGAGTCCAAACGGAATGAAACCTTCGGGAGCGTGATTTTTGGAACGAACGTGATCCGGAGAACTTGGAGTGCAAGTCAAGAAGCTTGCGAGGCGGCCAGGAGACAGGAGGGTGCGCCCACCCCCTCTAGGCGCGCCCCCTATCTCCTGGGCCCCACAGGCGGCCACCGACGTACTCCTTCCTCTTATATGTACCTACGTACCCCAAAAACATTCGGGGAGCCAACAAAACAGAATTTCCACCACCGTAACCTTCTGTATCCGCGAGATCCCATCTTGGTGCCTTCGTCGGTGCTCTGTCGGATGGGGAATCGACCATGGAGGGCTTCTACATCAACACCATAGCCCCTCCGATGAGTTGTGAGTAGTTTACCACAGACCTTCGGGTCCATAGTTATTAGCTAGATGACTTCTTCTCTCTTTTTGGATCTCAATACAATGTTCTCCCCCTCTCTTGTGGAGATCTATTCGATGTAAACTCTTTTTGCGGTTTGTTTGTCGAGATCCGATGAATTGTGGGTTTATGATCAAGTTTATCTATGAATAATATTTGAATCTTCTTTGAATTCTTTTATGTATGATTGAGTTATCTTTGCAAGTCTCTTCGAATTATCAGTTTGGTTTGGCCTACTAGATTGATCTTTCTTGCCATGGGAGAAGTGCTTAGCTTTGGGTTCAATCTTGCGGTGTCCTTACCCAGTGACAGAAAGGGTTACAAGGCACGTATTGTATTGTTGCCATTGAGGATAAAAAGATGGGGTTTATATCATATTGCTTGAGTTTATCCCTCTACATCATGTCAT